GCGGACAACTGGCACAAAGGGGATGCTGGCGCGAACAGCAGAGCAAAGAGCCCTCTGTGCATGCTCAGAGTTGAGAAAGCCCCACCCCACGCGATGTATTACACGGGAGATCTCGTGGTTTGGGAAGCCACTTCCAAGGTGGACTCAGGTGCCTTTTCCTCCCTCTCTTCTCTTTGCCTCCGCCCTGCCCTCCGGCAACGGATAGTTGCAAATGGCCCGGATGAAATCCAATTGTACACACAGTTTGCAGTCTTGCCTTGGCCTCCAAAGCGCACGAATTGCAGACGTGGTCTGGCTCAGAGCCGGCCGGATCCCCGTCCTGGAAAGGCTCGACTCTTCTCCCCCACTCTTGTCTGCCCAGGTTACAAAACAAACTTTCTCCCCGCCTCCTCCTGAAACCGAAAAAAGGGGCCTGGGGGGGGGTCCCCCTGGGATGCTGCGGGCTTTTGCAACGGAGTCAGGAGGGACCTTCCCGCTGGTGAAGGGAGGTTGGAGCCTGTAAAGTGACTTTTCGCAGCTAAACGACTGCCTGTCCTGCGCGCTTTGTGTGGTTCCGTAGCTGTTGCCTTTCTCCTTTCCGTGTTATCCTGTTAAAACGCTCCTTGGCGGAACTGCCTTTTGGGTACAGGACAGTTTTGCTTACCGGGGGTTGCCGGGGGGGGGGGGGTTGTGCCTCGAGACAATTGGGAGGTCTTTCTGCAATATAGGCTAGGATCAAGAAACTCCAGGGTGGGTGCCCCCAGCTCCGCCTGTGTCCCCTGGGGGCTGGCCTTCAGCCTGGAGTTTGGTGACTGTTTCATTCAGGGGCTTTCCCTGAAACATTTTTTTTTTTTGCATTTTGAGATTGGGGGGGGAGTGAAGAGGTGAGATTTCATATCTTGTTATTGGAGCAGTTTATTGAAAAAAATAATAATAAAAGGAGTAATTCCAGCATCTGATTGTCTTGGTCCCTTCTTAATTTGCATCTAAGTAAAATATGAACACCCAACCTAAGTCCTACACTTAGGTACAAAGAATCAAAGGCACAGATATAGAATGGGAGGGACTTGGCTTGACAGCAGCACATGTGAAAGGGACCTGGGTGTTCTGGTTGATCACAAGCGAAACATGAGCCTGCAGTGTGATGTGGCTGCGAGGAAAGCTAATGCAATCTTAGGATGCATTTACAGAAGCATCGTGTCCAGATCATGGGAGGTGGTAGTTCCGCTCTGTTCTGCTATGGTCAGGCCTCACCTGGAGTCCTGTGTCCAGTTTTGAGCACCACATTTTAGGAAGGATGCTGACAAGCTCGAGCGCGTCCAGAAGAGGGCAACCAGGATGGTGAGAGGGTTGGAATCCAAGTCTTATGAGGAAAGGCTGAAAGAGTTGGGTGGGTCTGTTTAGGAAAGAGAAGGCTTAGAGGGGACATGACTGCAGTCTTCAGATATTTGAAAGTCTGTCATGTAGAAGAGGGAGCAGATCTCTTCTCTCTGGCTCCGGATTGCAAGACTAGATCGAATGGGTGGGAATTACAAGGGAGTCGTTACCGGCTAAATATCAGGAGAAACGGGGAGAAACGGACTACCTCACAGGGTGTCTGTTGTGGGGAGGGGAAGGGAAAGGAGTTTGTAAGCCGCTCTGAGACACCTTTGGGTTGTGAAGAGCGGGGTATAAATCCAATCTCTTCTCTTCTTCTAAGAGTGGTTGAGCAGTGGAACAGTCTGCCTGGGGGGGGGGGGAATGCTCCTTTGCTGGACGTTTTCAAGCGGAGGCTGGACAACGGTCTCTCGGGTATGTTGTAGGTATGTAGGGCTCTCTTTCGGCTCTGCTCCTGCAGAGTGCAGGGGGTTGGACTAGATGACCTGCAAGGTCCCCTCCAACTCTAACATTCTATGATTCTAGCCCAAACATGTTAGATCTCGGAAGCTAAGCAAGGCTGGGAGGCCACCAAGGAAGTCCAGGGTTGCTACGCAGAGGCAGGCAATGGCAAACCACGTCCGTATGTCTTTTGTCCACACCTGGACGGCCCAGGCTATCCCGATCTCATCAAATCTTGGAAGCTAAGCAGGGTTGGCCCTGGTTAGCACTTGGATGGGAGACCATAAAGGAAATCCAGGGTTGCTACGCAGAGGCAGGTGATGGCAAACCCACCTCTGTATGTCAGGCTGGCCCAATCACATCAGATCTTGGAAGGTAGGCACAGCTTAAAAAAAAAGCACATACATAATCTGAAGATACAACGGAAGGAGCAAGAACAAAAAGAAACCGCCAATGAAACGGCAGTCCTCTGATCCTAAGTCATACATACCCTGAATGATGGGAAATTACGGTAGGCCTATTGATTCTTGGAGCTGCAAGCCTTTAGAAATCATCCTTTACCTTGTTCCAGAGCTTTGGGGATTCGCCCTTTGGGGTCTCAGCAAAAAGTCGTCACGATGGGAGTTCACACTAGCATGGAGAGGCTAGCATTAAAAGGGAGATTGAGCTAAAGAATTAGGAACATCCAGCATCCATCTACCTTCCTATGGTTTAAAACATTATGGCACGACCTTTCAAGATGAAAATGCAAGAATGCAGAAGTCTAAGAGACTAAGGAGTGAGAAGGTATTGAAGAAGTTCTGCAGAATCATAAGAAGTTGGTCATGGCTCAGTGGTAGCGCATCTGCTTGGCATGCAGAAGGTCCCAGGTTCAATCCCTGGCACCTCCAGCTAAAGGGGTCAGGAGTATGTGCTGCAAAAGACCTCAGTGGCTCAGTGGCAGAGCATCTGCTTGGCATGCAGAAGGTCCTGGGTTCAATCCTCTGCATCTCCAGCTACAGGAGTCAGGCAGTAGGTGATGCAAAAGACCTCAGCAGTTCAGTAGTAGAGCCTCTGCTTGGCCTGCAGTAGGTCCCAGGTTCAATCCCCGGCATATCCAGCTAAAGGGGTCAGGCACTATGTGATGTAGGACCTCAGCAGCTCAGCAGTAGATCATCTGCTTGGCATGCAAAAGGTCCCAGGTTCAATTCCCTGCATCTCCATTGTTTAAGCATGGTATATTCAAAACGAGCAAGCTGACCGAAAGCACTCTAGCCTTGAGGCTTAAACAAGTCAATTGTTGATATGACTTCTGAGAAGCTAAAGTTACTACTGTCAGTGTACATAATGGTGAACAGAGAACGGAAGACACAATGATTGAGGTTTATAAGGTTATTTTATTTATGCATGGGATAGAGCAGGTAGAGAAAGAGGTACTTTTCTCCCTTTCTCACAATACAAGAACTCCTTGTGGGCACTCCATGAAATTGCTGAGCGGTCGGGTTAGAACGGATAAAAGGAAGTACTTCTTCACCCAGAGAGTGATTTTTTGTTGTTCAGTCGCACAGTCGAGTCCGAGTCTTTGTGACCCCATGGACCAGATCACGCCAGGCCTTCCTGTCTTCTGCCGTCCTCTGAAGTTGGCTCAATTTCATGTT